CAGGGCTCATCGGGCTCATAGGTCTCACCGGGCTCACCAGGCTCAGAGGGCTCATAGGGCTCACAGGGTTCAGAGGGCTCATAGGGCTCAGAGGGCTCATAGGGCTCATAGAGTTTATAGAGCTCAGAGGGCTCAGAGGGCTCATAGGGCTCAAAGGGCTCATAGGGCTCAGAGGGCTCATAGGGCTCATAGGGCTCACAGGGTTCAGAGGGCTCACAGGACTCGTAGGGCTCATAATTAGGTCTCACCGGGCTCACTGGGCTCCTAGGGGTCATAGGGCTCATAGGGCTCATACGGCTCTTAGAGCTCATAGGGCTCAGAGGGCTCATAGGACTCATAGGGCTTATTGTGCTCAGAGAACCCAGGGGGCACGGGACTCATAGGGCCCATAGGGCTCATAGGGATCGTAGGGCTCAGATGGCTCAGGGGGCGCATAGGACTCATAGAGCTCATAGGGCACCACTTGTAACACAAGGGCCCTTTACCCGTGCCTTTTCTTTTGCTGTCATTGATATATATATATATATACACACTGGTGCGGCATTGAGCCATCTCCCTCGTGCAAGCCTTTGCGTTTTCCTCGTGGCTCTGCCCACTCAAATGTGTCATTTAACAGGTACCAGAAAGCCTCGTCCAACTTCGCGCAATCGTCTTCATCGAGCTCGTATTCTCTTTCAGCGTCGTCTTCTTGTCTCTTGGCTGCTGACGCTTTGATGTTTTCACTCAGGGTTAACTACTATGTATAAAGTCGTCCTCTTCGTCACATGGTAACGCCCCATCAATGGTTTCAAATTTGTTGTTCGAATGTTCCAAGACTTTCCAATAATCGTGTTTCGCTTGGGCGAGCGAGTTCAACAGGTTCTCACTCCGTTTCCTGAACTTGGTCCCGCTACCCGAGAACATCTTTAACTGTTGGACGGCCTTGTACTCGCTGACCAATTTGTTTCCACCTCCTCTGGCTCTCGTGCATCCAGCGGGCTGTATAGCTTCGGCAATGTTGGCTACATGCTCCGAGGCGTTCGCTTGACGTTGGAACTCGTTGGCAGTATCTCCGAAATTCTTCCTTCTAGTTGTTGGATTGTTCCTCGCAGTGCATGCTGCGGCTGATGACCGAATTCCGAAGGGCATTGATGGTATAATTCGTCTGTAACATCGTGAACGCCCCATCGTCGTCAACCGTCCTGGTTCCCAGCGTGGCGCTGTGCTCGAAGAAAAATCTCATCCATTCGTGATTGGCCTTAAAGGCACTGAAAAAAAGGAAAATGAGAAACAAAGAACGAGAGAGCAAAACAACGAGACCTCCGTTGTCAGAGCTGGCGTTGCGCAGTTCCGCAGACCGTTTCGTGCACAGGTTGTACCAGGCCTCTCGGGCATCAGGTAACGTTACATTGTAACCCGGGTCGTGGCTGCCAGGGACCGTTGGGGTCGCCGCCGCGGCCGCAGCTGCCGTCTCTGCACTGGAACCCGCGGGGCGAAGCGCGGGCTCCGCTATCATGAAACTCCGGTAGGAGCCTGATAATGGAAGCTGGTCTGGGGACAGCATGTTGTTGAAAGGAAGTAGCAGTATGAGTGGATCAGCACTCGAGCCAAACAGCGTCGGTCGACGCACGCTGGGCGGTCCTAACCAAGTCGTTTCCGCTACGCTCCCTGCTGCGTTGCTCATCTCGTCGCATGGCCATGTTCTAGCACATACTCCTCCTCCCCCTCCTCCTCCTCCTCCTCCTCCTCCTCCTCCTCATCATCACCATCGTCATTGTCATCATCATCATCATCATCATCACCCTCATCATCATCAACGTCATCATCACCATCCGTATTCTCAACATCAGCATCACCATCATCGCCGTCGTCGTCACCATCATCGTCAACGTCGCCATCATGACCGGTTTCATCATCATCATCGTCATCATACCTACCATGAACATTACCAGCATCCTATCATTATCATCATCATCATCATCATCATCATCATCATCATCATCATCATCATCATCATCACCGTCGTCGTTACCATCCTCTTCATCATCATCGTCATCATCATGACCAAGATCATCATCCGCATCATCATTAGCAACAGCATCATTAGCATCATCATCATCATCAACATCATCATCATCATCATCATCATCATCATCATCATCGACACCGCCATCATCATCATCATCATCATCATCGTCATCATCATCATTAGCACCATCGTCATAATCATTATCCTCACCATCACCATCACCGTCACCGTCATCAGCATTTTCATCATCAGCGGCAGCGTCATCATCATCAGCATAAGCACCATCACCATTATATATCATTATCAGTATCATCATCTCCATCACCATCATCAGCATTGTCATCATCATCATTATCATCAGCATTACCATCATCAGCAGCATCATCACTATCATCGCCACTCGCATTCCCATCCTCATCATCCTCATGCTCAGCTTCATCCTCAGCCTTCTCATCACTAACATCCTCACTGTCATCATCAGCAGCATCAACATCAGCATCAGCATCACCATCAGCTTCATTGTCATCAGCAGCATCACCCGCGAGCGCACGCACTGGAGGACGGCTGCGCAGAGGACTGCGAGCGCTCGGCCGCCACGCGGGCCCAGGCCGGCCCAGGCTTGGGAATTTTGAGGATCGAGGTTTGGGCTTTGAGCAGAAGACCGCTTGCACGGAGCAGTCTGATCGGCAGCATGGGGGATGGCTCGGACAGCGTCACCCTCGGTCCAACCGATCGCCATCATCAGCAGAGCCATCGTCACCCGAATCGCCATCGTCATCATCAGCAGCATCAACATCAGCATCAGGATCAGGATCAGGATCAAGATCCGGATTATTATCATCGTCATCATCATATGCTTCAGAATCTGTTTCGTCATCATCATCATCATCAGCATCAGTATCATCATCATAATCATCATCATCGTCTTCATCATCATCATCATCATCACAACCACCGCCACCATCATCATAATCATCATCAGCAGCATAATCGTCATCATCATCATGATCATCTTTCTCATCATCATCATCATCATCGTCATCATCATCATCATCATCGTCATCATCATCATCAGCAGCAGCATCGTCATAATCAGTATCCTCACCATCACCATCACCGTCACCGTCATCAGCATTTTCATCATCAGCGGCAGCGTCATCATCATCATCATCATCAGCATAAGCACCATCATCATTATCAGTATCATCATCTCCATCACCATCATCAGCATTGTCATCATCATTATCATCAGCATTACCATCATCAGCAGCATCATCACTATCATCGCCACTCGCATTCCCATCCTCATCATCCTCATGCTCAGCTTCATCCTCAGCCTTCTCATCACTAACATCCTCACTGTCATCATCAGCAGCATCAACATCAGCATCAGCATCACCATCAGCTTCATTGTCATCAGCAGCATCACCCGCGAGCGCACGCACTGGAGGACGGCTGCGCAGAGGACTGCGAGCGCTCGGCCGCCACGCGGGCCCAGGCCGGCCCAGGCTTGGGAATTTTGAGGATCGAGGTTTGGGCTTTGAGCAGAAGACAGCAGAAGACCGCTTGAACGGAGCAGTCTGATCTGCAGCATGGGGGATGGCTCGGACAGCGTCACCCTCGGTCCAACCGATCGCCATCATCAGCAGAGCCATCGTCACCCCAATCGCCATCGTCATCATCAGCAGCATCAGCATCAGCATCAGGATCAGGATCAGGATTAAGATCAGGATTATGATCATCGTCATCATCATATGCTTCATAATCTGTTTCGTCATCATCATCAGCATCAGTATCATCATCATAATCATCGTCATCGTCATCATCATCATCATCACAGCCACCGCCACCATCATCATAACCATCACCAGCAGCATCATCGTCATCATCATGCTCATCATTCTCATCATCATCATCATCATCATCATCATCATCATCATCATCATCATCGTCAGCATCATCATCATCAGCATCATCAACATCATCATTATCACCAGCATCATGCATCACCGTAATTATCATCAGCATCGTCATCATCATCATCACCCTCCTCATTCTCATCCTCATGATTGTCCTCCCCCTCATCATCTGCAGCAGCATCACACCATGATCGAAAGCATAATCAACGTCATCAAAGCCATAAGCATCATCATAATCACCGTCGCCATCGCGACGACCATCATCGTGACTGTGATCATCATAGCTACAACCGCTATCGCCATCACCGTCACCATCATCGTCGTCCTCCTCAACATCGTCAACACCATATTTCTCCATGTTTATCTTCCTCCTCTTCCTCGTCGTCAGCGTCATCAGTAGCAGCTTACGTCTCCCTTTTTCTTCTCCTCCTATTCTTCCTCCTCCTCCTTGTCCCCTTCCTCATCAACGCCGTCAGCATCCTCCTCCTCCTCCTCCTCCTCCTCCTCCTCCTCCTCCTCCTCCTCCTCCTCCTCCTCCTCCTCCTCTGGTGCCCCTTTTTTCTGCTCGAGATCCGCGTCGAGGGCCTCCTGCACGCGAGGCGCCGCGCCCAGGACCCACCGCCGTTCTCTGGCCCGCGCCCGCCGGGCGCCGGGGCTCTGAGCGCCCCCGGGGTCTGATATGAAGTGCCGCCCGCGCAGTCCAGCGGCGCGCTGCAGGGCTCTTGGCAATTATGCATGATGGAGGGGTAGGGCTGGACTAAGAGGAGGAAGGAAGGAAGGAAGAAAGGAAGGAAGGAAGGAAGGAAGGAAGGAAGGAAGGAGGAGGAGGAGGAGGAGGAGGAGGAAGGAAGGAAGGAAGGAAGTAAGGATGGAAGGGAGGAGGAGGAAGGGAGGAAGGAAGGAAGGAAGGAAGGAAGTAAGGAATGAAGGGAGGAGGAGGAAGGGAGGGAGGGAGGGAGGAAGGAAGGAAGGAAGAGGAGGAGGAGGAAGGAGGAGGGGTAGAAGGCATCGGGGGGAATCGCCAATGAGCGCGCACGGACTACTGTGGCCCTGACCGCTCACTCCTCGCCCAACTATTCCTTGATCGCGCGGCGCCTCGGTGCGCGCAGCGGCGTCGTGGGCCTGGGGAACGCGATGCGCACGCCGTCCTTCAGGAGGACCGGCTTGTAGAACGCCGGCACCTCATCGGTCATCAACGGGCTGTTTCGATAGCGGCTGATGTTCCGACTGAGGCCCTGGCAAACGCTCCAGTGCATGGTGGATGCCGCTCTGGAGGGCGATTCTGCCCAGCCATCGAACCCCTCAAAGGCAAGCATGAACTCCTCCGCTCGCTCTGGTGTGACCAGGTTGACGAATCCGTACCCGACGCCGAGCACCTCGGTGCGCTTGATGGGGACGTAGACGAAGTCAAACCACCCAGAGAACCCCTTGGACTCGAGCAGCTCGATCAGCGAATCGCACGTGCAGGAAAGAGGAATGTTGCGCATCATCACCGTGGTCCGCTCGTGAGGCTTCGGCCCGGCGACGTCGAGCCCGGTCTGCTGGCTCCCCGCCAGCGCGAGGCACTTGGGGACGTATGGCTCTGCCTGCACGGTTGCCCCCGGGGCCGTAGGCGACCCGAGGAGGAGGAGGAGGAGGCGGAGGGGGAGGAGGAGGAGGAGGAGGAGGGAGGAGGAGGAGGAGGAGGAGGAGGAGGAGAGGAGGAGGGAGGAGGAGGA